AAGGCTAACTATTAAATGTATAAAGGGTTGTGGAATCAGAAAATCACAATTTGGAGAACCACTATAATAATAATTAATTTAGGGGACAGTTATCAATGTGTACTAAAACTATGGATGAATATGTAAGGAGTAAGAAGATATTTACATAGACTCAAAGTATATCCCCACGAGATATATATGGGGAACAGAGTAATGTTATAGTAGAAAAATCTGGCAGATAATAGTCTAAACAAATGATAAAAGTTACCATCAGCAGTATTAGAATAAACAGCATATACCTCCTGATAGGATGCACTGAGGAGCACACATCATTTTTGTGCTATTTCCACTAAAACTTTGTATTCTGACATGAAGAAAAATCAGACCAATAAAAATTGTAGACTATTTTACAAAATAACTCTCCTCTACTCTTCAGAAATGACAATGTAGTGAAACACAAAGGCTCAAAAACTCTTCTGGATTAAAAGAAACTGAAGACATGAATATTGAATGCAAGGCATGACCCTGGATTTTTTGTTGTTGTTACAGGAAACAGTGGGCTATTAGGGAAAATCTGAGTGAGGTCTCTAGATTGTATCAGCAGTTTTCAGCCTTTTTTTAATCTCATGGCACACATAGACTAATTACTAAAATTCTGCAGCACATCAAAAATGCATTTTTTTTCAGATCTTACAAAAAATAGGTAAACTTTTGATTCATTCACACTGTATAGCTATTGTGTTGGCTATTGTCATTTTTAAAAATTTGTCAATCTAATGGAAAAGAGGTCAGTGCCCCTGACTAAATAGACAGGAATTGCACGTTTTAAAAATTCTTGCAGCACACCAGTGTGCCACAGCACACTGATTGAAAATTGCTGAATTAGATAGTAGTATTGTATTTATGCTGATTTTGATCATTGTACTGTCATTATGTAAGAAAATGTCCTTGATTTTAGAAACACATACTGAAATCTAGAATTGCACAAGTCTGCAATTTGTTCTCAAGTGGTTAATATAGATACGTGTGTATGCATGCACATGTACAGAGAAGAGAGAACTATTTTTGTAAATTTTCTTTAATCTGGAATTATGTAAAAAATTTTGAAAGGAAGATAATTCCTTAAAATGATGCAAATTAACACCACACTACATACCCACCAGAATGGTTTAAATAAAAAAGACCAGCAATACCAAGTGTTGACAAGGATGTGAAGAAACTGAAACCTTCACGCATTGCTGGTGGGGTTGCAAACTAGTGCCACCATTTTGGAAAACAGTTTGGCAGATTCTTAAAAAGTTAAACATATGCTTACCATATATTATAGTCCAGCAATTTCAGTTCTTGGTACTAGTCAAGAAAAGTGAAAATATATGTCCACACAAAGATTTCTCTATTTCATTGCAGCATTTAATAATAGCCAAAGACTGGAAAAATTCCAAATGTCCATCAGTAAATGGATAAACAAAATCTGGAATATTTACACAGTGGAGTACTACTCAGCAATAAAAATGAAAATTTGGTTCATGCAACAATATGGATGAGCCTCAAAAACACTGTGCTAAGTGAAAGAAGAAAAGCACATAAGATTATATATTTTATGGTTCCATTTACTTGAAAATTAGGGAAACTATAGAGACAAAAGTAGATCAGTGGTTCCCAAGAGTGGGAATGGAAATTGACTGCAAACAGACATAAAGAAACTTTTTTTGACTGATAAAAATCTTCTATAACTAGATTGTGGTGATGGTTGTGTACTGAACTTTAAAATTAGTGAATTCGTGGTATGTAAATTATATCTCAATAAAGTTACTTTTAAAAGACTATATAGCCCCCTCCACATGAGTAACATATGGACTATTTAATAAATAGTGGTGGTGTAACTATCTGTGTGAAAAAAATTAGTTCTCTATCTCATGACACACACATACACGCATGCACAAATTTCAGCTGGTTTCAAGACTTAAATCATAAAATTTTGGACTGTTTAGAAGAAAATATAGAGAATACCTCCAGGTCCTCATGGTGCACAGGTTTCTTATAACTAAAAACACAAAGCAAAAAAAAAATATCAATAAATTAACAACTTTAAAATTGGAAATTCATGTATAACAAAAGATGCTGAAATAAAGCATAAGGACTTTATTATAAATACTTGCAGCATTTATAACTAAGAAAGGTTTTAGTATCCAGATTATATAAATAGCTACTACAATAAGAAAAAAAACCCCTACAAATAATCTGATTGAAAAATGGTCACAGGACCCATCAGTAGATGGGTAGACAAAAAAGCCATGGGACATTTACACAATGGAATACTACTTGGCCATATTAAAAAGGAGAGAAAGAAAGAAGGAGAAAGAGAGAGAGAGGGAGAGAGAAGGGGAGGGGGAGGGGAGGGGAGGGAGGGAGGGGAGGGAGGGGGAGGGGAGGGGAGGGGGAGGGGAGGGAATCTTACCCTTTGTGACAGCATGGATGGACCTGGAGAGCATTATGATAAGTGAAATAAGCCAGTCAGAGAAAGACAAGTACCATATGATTGCACTCAGATGTGGAATCTAATGAACATAATGAACTAATAGGTAAAATAGAGACAGGCCCTTAGATAGCAGGTGGGCAGCTGTCTGGGTGGGTAGAGTTGGGGAGGCTGGTAGTGGGATTGAGAAAAAATGTTAAAAAAGAGAACACTCATGGACATGGACAACAGTATGGGGATTGCCACAGGATGAGATGAAATCGGGGGTAGAGGAGGGTATTACGGGGATAAATGATGGTGGAAGGAGACTTGACTTGGGGTGGTGAACATGCAATACAGTGTACAGATGATGTGTTGTGGCAATTGTATAATTGTCCCTGAAACCTGTATAATTGTGTTAACCAGTGTCACCCCAATAAATTCAATAAAAAGGGGGCAGGGAGATAGCAAGATTTTTTTTCCTGACCCCCACCTAAAAAAAGAAAAGTGATCACAGGATAGAAATATACAATTTGCTAAAGAGGAAATTGTAAAAGTCAATAAATGTATGAAAAGTTCTGCCTCATTAGTAACCATGAAAATGCAATTTATAAAAATGATGTGACAGAAATTCACCATCAGGTTGGCAAAAATTAGTCTGATATTGAACAGCATTGATAAGGATTCTTATACTTGCTGGTAGATGTAAACTGGTGTAACTAAAGTGCAATATGGCATGATGTAGTCACATGCATATCTACAACTTAGCAATTTTATATTTACGTACATTGCTAAGAAAAATGCCAGAAGACAGGTATAAAGATATTTACTGCAGCATTTTCCTATTATGCAAAAAAAATTGTCATTCTTTTTCAAAATGATTTTGGTTGTTCTGGATACTCATGTCATTTGGGCCTCTGCCTCCCTATGGCAGAAATATAACAAAGGTAACAGTGATAGAAAAGAAAGATGTACTGGAAATGGCCCATGAAATTAGGAAAACTTCGAAGTGTAGATAAAAAAAAAAGGAAAATCTTTGGGGCAATAAAAGTTTTGTGACCTAGTGAAAATTTACCATGAACTAACACTAATCAGGAACTCAGTCTAGATACTCCATAAGTTCCCTTCTAGCCTGAACATTCTGTGGATCTCATATTTATGTACTGAAGCTTTCCCAAGTGACCTGGCATAGTCTAATTTGCTAGGCACAGAGATTTGTGAAGTGTAATAGTGAATTCATATTATTCTCACTTAACTCCTTGAGTGAGAATAACTAGGAGCAGAGTTCTCATCTCATATCCAGATCTGCATGGAAGTAGTTTCAGCATCTACTTTTTCTAATGCATAGAGGCAGGGTAAAGTTAAAAACTTAGACTTTGGTGCAAGACCGAATTATTTTAAAATCTAGCTCCTCCACTAATTAGCTTCATAACCGTTGCAAGTTATCTTCTCTGTGCCTAGATTTTTCTATCTGTAAACTGAGAATTATAATTATCTCCTAGGGTTGTTTTTAGGATCAAATGAATGTAGGTAAACACTTAAAACAATGTAAACAAATTAAACCACAAAGTAAGCACTATATGAGTGCTAGTTATTATTAATAAAATGGCTTTAATCCTGAGCAGAACAAATGACCCATGGTGCTTTCAGGAAAAAAAAAAAAAGGAGATAAGCTAAGTTATTTTTAAGCCTTTTGAAATGAAGAAGGCATATGTATAATTTTCCTGCCTCACCTTTCAATTCACAGTCTCTTCACTAAGAGGGTAGGGAATTCTCTGCTTTAGGTAGAAATGTTCTTTTTGGCAATGGACTTTCCCACATAATGTTTATGACATATCACCATCACCAGCTGCTACTCTGTTTTTTCAGGCTGGACGACAATTGGAAGCTGAGCAAGCTTACAAGTATACGATGAAGGTATGATGAAGACACCTCTGCTGTTTGCACTGTACTGAGGCTGGAAAACTGGGAGGAAGGGACTGGCTTAATTCAGAACTTTATAGCATTTCACGATGTGAGAATTTCTTCTAGAGGCTTTTCTTACCATCTTCTCCATTATCATAGGACTCCTGGGTTTGGAACAATAACCAACATATTACCATGGGGGAATCTTTCTTTGTACTTCTTTAGAGAACATGGTTTAAATGGAAAGACAGGTGGCTTGGGTATCAGTAGACTGGAATTATGATCTTAGCTTTGTCATTAACATACCGCATTAACCTCTCTGGGCCCCATTTTCCTCGTGTGTAAAATGAAGGTGTTGGTCTAGTCTAGGATTGAACAAATTTGTTCTGTAAATGGCAAAATAGGAAATATATTAGGCTTCGTGGACCAAATGGTCTCTATTGCAACTACTACACTCTGACTTGTAGTGAAAAAGCAGCCATAGACAATTCATCAACAAATGAACGGGGATGTGTTTCAAATAAAACTACGAACAAAAACAGGCAGTGCAGTAGATCTGGCTCACGAGCAGTGACTTAGCAAACCCTGGTCTATTCTATTAGCTGTGAATTATAAGTAATTTGACTTGAAAGTCTGTGGCTTAAACAAATTTGGAGTTTTATTTTCTCCTCGTTGAATGAAGAGTCCAGGACTGGTACCACAGGTCCACAATGCCATCAGAAACCCAACCTCTTTCCACCTTTCTGCTCTAGCAATCACAGGATACGGTTTCCATCCCTCTGAGTTGAAAGACAGCCATTGCAGCTCCAGCCACTTCATCTATGTTTCAGGCACAATAAAGAACAAATAGGGGGAAAGGACAAAGTGGTCGTGCTAGTAATTTCACCTCCCTTTGAAGAGCAATGACTTCAACTTGTATTTCATTGGCCACAGTGGCTGTAACACTTCCCTTGCAAGGGACGTAGGACATGTGGCTTTTTAGCAGGCTGCATTGCTGCCCTGAAAAGACAGGAACATTTTTTTTAAGTAAAGAAAAGAGATAGTGAATATTCAGTAAACAACTAGATGTCACTACTACACATCTTGATTCTAAAATTAAATCCATATCTAACATCTTTGCTGCCAAATGGTAATAGTATACAACAGTCAAGATATATTGCATGATAATGTGAATCTTTTAAAAATAAACTTTTTTGAAGTTATTTTTAAAAAGTGTACAAACTGTGACTGTTCATACCACTTGATGAATTTTCATAAAGTAAAAATATCCATATAACCAGCACAATGTTCTGAGGTATTTTAATGGAGTTACCATGAAATAGAGAATATAGCCAATTCCATCCCAAGGAACTATGTTCTTTAGCTGTGGCTTCAGAAATGAGGGGTCTCCACACAGGTATATCAGATATGACACATGTCCCCTTCCTTCCTTTATTGCAGCTAAAATTGAAAGATGAGACTCTGCTTGCAGAGATCCACATGCTACAGGAGACGTTTGGTTTTGGAAATCCATCTTTTTGACTTCCTTTTAGCTGAAGAATTTTCTCTATGGGACTCTGAGTTCTTCTCCTTCCCAGAGAAATTAAACCTGGATGCTCCACCACGTAAGACCTGGGGATAGAGAACAAAAGAATCTTCACCACAAACAGAAACCCATTCATTTATTTCCATTGGCTATCTTACTTGGTATCAAATGTTAATGGTTGTTTTTACTGATTGACAGTAAAATGGATGACAATAAATGGAAATTGGATATTCAAAAGTCATCAGTGTGGTTCTGGAGTTGTTATACCGAAGTATATACAAGAATATATAAATATATATATAAGAATATATAAATATATAAAATTAAGGCATAGTAGGTTCATTATTGGGGTTTCTGACGAAAGCTAATCGGGACCACTTCTGGGGGAAGTCAGCTGCTAAGGTCCCTGGCCAGGTTAAGTTACTGGAACTTGGGAATTAAGGCATCATTTTCTAAGGTGGAACTAAAGGAAGAAAGCTATGCTGGGTAACTGTATTAGGTCAAAGAGCCTATTAGCTGGAGCCAGGCCTTTTGGATCCAACAGTGAACAGAGATGCTAGAGAGGTGCACAAGGGCTCCATAATGAGTCCATTACCCTCTCATGGATGCAAAACTCAAATTGAGGTCATTTTTCTAGGGCTAAAGATGACAAAGGAACGATACTTCACCCCTGTTCTCCTGGATCACTGCACAGCAAAACCAGGGATAAAGCCCCCATGCTTTATTTTTCAGAAACGGACGAGAGAATAGAAGGGAAGGTGAGAGGCATATTAGTAAACACTGAAAGATAAACTCTACGTTAATTTATAGTCCTTTCCCAGACTGCCGCCCCGTCTCCCCACCAGACTCTGAGCTTCCTGTAGGCAGGGACAGCGTCCTTCCCTCTTTGGGTTTTCAGGACTACACCTTGGCGCTAACAGGTGCTCAAAAACATTTGCTGGAAGGAAGGACTAATCGAGCGCTGTAGCGCTTCTTAGTCGCTCCGGACATAATGCTCCCAGTACTCCTCACTCCACCAGGAACTCCCAGCTCAGCACCGGCCGTGAACGCTCACAAGGTGAGGATTACGCTGCTACGCCAGCTATTAGCAAATTGTAGCGCACCTTTTCTTTTACGTTTTTTGGTTTTTGTTTGTTTGTTTGTTTTGGCGGCAGTTTAAGGGAGGTACTTTCGAGTTCACCGTGTTGCATTATGGGGAATGTAGGAGCGGACAGCGGAAAGGGCTGGGTGAGAGGACCATTCACTTCCGGCATCGAGGCACTTGGGGTTGGCTCCCGGCTCCCTGACCCAGTGGTTTCGCAGCGTTGACCCTGCGCATCCGGAGGCGGTGGAGCTGATCTTTACGGGCGGCGGGACCCTTCGAGGAGCCGCTAGTTGCGCACGGTCTTCGGTGCACGCGGCTGCACCATGGTTCAGCTTAGTGAGTGACAGGGACCCGAGAGACCTTCCGGGCGGTCCCGGGGACGTAGAGTACCGGGTGGAACAGCGCCGTCCTAGGCGAGCTGGAAGCATCCCTAACCTGAAACAGCCAGATGGCCCTATGTTTGGTCATACTTTTCATTTTCTTCTCACCTAATTACCCCTGAAGCCCTGTGACATAAGAGGCGTTCATTTTACCGATGAGTCAACTGCGATCCCTACCTGGTCATAGAACTAGTAAATGACAGGCCTGTGCTGAGTGAATTAAGGGTTGAGGAGGAAGTCATTTCTAGAGGGAGTGCATCAGAATGGTTTTCACAAGGGAATGGTTTCTAAGCCAGATTTCTGGAGGGAGTGCATCAGAAGGGTTTTCACAAGGGAATGGTTTCTAAGCCAGAGTTCAAAGAATTGGTTAGTAATAAGGATTTCCACTGCAGGAAAGAGAATGTTTTGTCTACCTCATTTTACCCATTTTGTTCCCTCGTTTCTTAACTGCTTATTTTTCTGCAGCTACTCTCCTCTGCAAGGCCTACCATGGAGGCCACTTAACCATCCGTCTTGCTCTGGGTGGCTGTACCAACCGGCCTTTCTACCGCATCGTGGCTGCTCACAACAAGTGTCCCAGGGATGGCCGTTTCGTGGAGCAGCTAGGCTCCTATGATCCACTGCCCAACAGTCATGGAGAGAAACTCGTGGCTCTCAACCTGGACCGGATCCGGCATTGGATTGGCTGTGGGGCCCACCTCTCTAAACCTGTGGAAAAACTTTTGGGTAACTAGCCTTACCTAGGGATTTAAAATTAAAGTTAATTATAGAAAGATGAAAATTAAAAATGATTTTTATTACCTGTAGGCTGCTCAGAACTGCAGTGAGAGGTAAACTTGTGATCTAATTGCATTTTGAAACTGGAGACCTTTTGGGGACTCCTTTACGAGACTTTTTTGGGTGACTGGGATTTTATGTTAAAAATGGGAACAGTGTGTTTTGAATGGTTGTCAGTTTGTCTTTTTTCCAGTGAGGAAAATAGTGTTAGGAAGTTGACAACATCTATTGTCTGCTTGCAGTAAGGAGTTGGGGGAAGAGATAAGACAGACTGGTGAGTTTGTTTTAAATCCATGCTCTAGGTCAGGTCTCTTATTAGACCTCAGTTCTGTGAGGCCGAGTTCCCAGGGAAACATTGGCTTATACTGTGTTATAACAAATGAAAATCCTGTTGCTTTTAGGTCTTTCTGGTTTTTTCCCTCTGCATCCCATGGTGATCACAAGTGCTGAGAGGCTTCGACGGAAACGGGCACGTGAAATCCTCTTAGCGTCTCAGAAAACAGATACGGAAGCTGCAGAAACAAAAGTGACCTGACTTCAGTGAGCAAAGCAGCGACAACAAGGTCAAAGTCCTCTTAAAACACTTGTGCAGAGTTGTTAGTTTTATTAGATTTAGAGGTCAATAAATGGAATTTTCTTTGTCATCCATGTTCTTCTGGGCCCAGGGAGAGATTGTTCTTGTGTGACACAGAGCTGAGCCTAGGTGCTAATTATTAGCTTTTCCAGCCTTTATCTGGGGAAACACATTGGCTGTGGGTTAGGTTTGAGCCCTGGATCTCTTAGACAGCTTTACAGTCTGCTGACTTCAAAAACTTCCCTGTTTCAAAGTCCTCAACCAGCATATCCATGGCCAGTTCAAGTAATTCCTACCTTAATCATTTATGGTTATCCCACCAGTTTAAGAACACAGTTACCACCCTGGCGATGTGGCTTAGTGGGTTGGAGCCTCGCCTCATACTGAAAGGCTGCCGGTTTGATTCCTGGTCGAGGCACAGTCCTGGATTGTGTGTTCAATCCCTGGTCGGGGCACATAGGAGAAGGCAACCAATTGATGTTTCTCTCTCCGCCTCCCTCCCTGTCTTTTCTAAAAGCAGTGAAAAAGTGTCCTTGGGTGAGGAATTAAAAAAAAATACAGTCACTTCGCTTATTGTTTTTGTAATCACAGATTTATATTTCCTTAACAATCTTAAATTTACAAAGGTAGATTTATTATGAGCTTTTAGTCTGTAATAGTCTTTTAATAATGAGAAACTGGAAAAAGCTAATATTGTAAAGTGCCTACATATGTTAGAATGACCTTTTACATGCAAGGTTATTTGTGAGATTTATAAGGTATTACAAAAGTCAGAAAGGATTATCTCCATTTTGTAGATGGGTAAGCTGAAGTTCAGAGGTGGTAACTTGCCCAAGGCCACAGTTTAATATTGGCAGAGCTAAGATTCAGACCCCAGTATGCCTACTTGCAGAGCCCTTTGCAATATGTATTGTTTGTAGTGTGATGGCAGGAGGAATAAGGAAGGATTGGGGCGTTTCAAATGTACACTTAAAAAGTCAGTGATAGAATCGGGTTTAGGTATCACAGGTTTGGTAATATAAATGACTGGCTGTGGCAAAAAACCAAAATACTACATTTTCTGCTCCATCCTAACCTCAGGATTTTACAACCACAAGCATGGATTAGATGGTTTTTGTGCACATGTTGAATAATACAGATTTCAAATTCTGTCATAAGACTAGGATATAGGAGATTTATAAAGGAGAATCTAAAACCCTAACAATGTACCAACTTACTTTATTCTCTGGATTTTATATTCTGAGAACAATTAACAGCCACCTCAAATTGTGGGGTCAGGATTCCCCAAGATTGTTACTGGTGGGCCTCCAATTGCTTTGAGGAGAGCAGACTTGGAAGGCAAGGCAAACAGAGCGAGACTGACTACCTTGGATGCGGGAAGGGAAATACTTTCAAAATGATAGGAACTCTGAACATTTAAAAGATAACCTGGAGAGTTTGATGGGAGAGAAGCTTTAATTGATAGAGCAAAAAAGAATGTGATTTTAAAAAATACTGATCAGTGAAGGGAACTGCTGTGAAATAGGTTAAGATGAGGTATTTTTTTGAAGTAGAGTTTCTGCCAACTCAGTACCTCCTTTGTGCCCTTGTCTGTCTTTTGCCTAAGATCTGTACACACATATTTCCTCTCCGAAGACTGTGTGAGCTCATCCTCTCCCTGATTTGTAGTTCTCTCTAGCCCTAGCCTTGCCTTGGATCTCTAGGCCCATAGTCCTCACCATGTCTTAGCTGATTGCATTAGCTACCATCTTCAAATTTAATATGCTCAAAATTCAGCTCTGCACTTTAAAAAGCATTAAAAAGAAAAAGCCTTCACTTCAGCAGCTTATATTTTTATTAAGGTGAGGATTTGGATCATGTTATCTCCACCAAAGTGGAAAGTGATTCGGGAGCTGGAGAATGAATGGGACTGATTCTGTAATGTCAAATCTAAAAGTCTTATCAGATCATTTTTTAAAGGCCTGCATTTTGTGCTTTTTGTTTAATGTAGACTTTTTTCTTGCAGGGCTCAAAGGAAGTACCTACTCCGCAGCCCCACCCTGTAGGTTGCAAAATTATTTGGGCTTTAGAGCTCTATATACTCTTGTGGGGATCATCTTTGAAAAATAACAAATCTATTTAACCATCGCTCTTTGAAAAACCACATGTATATGAGCCACGCGAAATTATCCAATGCCGATGTTATGCTGTTTCGTTGCTTTAAAAAAAGAAAACGTATAGGTCCAACCTAATGTGGATATTCCGGGTATTAAGAGAGATTCTACACTGGCACATTGAGGAGAAGATAGGCGCCAGATTTCGAGTGCCTCGGAGGAGAGGGCCTGGCGGCCTTTGGGCTACTTCCGCTTCCTCCGAGTAAGGTGGCTCCCGCGGGCAGAGAAACCTGGGGAGCCCGCTGGGCTCCACCTCCTGGGAAATCGACGCCGCTGTTTCCCAGCCCCATTTTGCGGCTGCCGTAAAGTGCGGTGGGTGGCCACGCCCCTTTTTGCGCCCCTTGTGACGCCAGCGCCCAGGGCTTTTTGCGCGGGAAAAGAAAGCAGTCCGGAGCTCCAGCTACACCTGCTGGGACCCACCTTTCGAGCAGGCTGTAGCAGGCTCCGCGCCTCCGGGGGCTATGGGGTTGCTGGAGCTGTGTGAGGAAGTGTTCGGCACCGCCGACCTTTACCGAGTGCTGGGCGTGAGACGCGAGGCCTCGGACGGCGAAGTCCGACGCGGCTACCACAAGGTGTCCCTGCAAGTGCACCCTGACCGGGTGGGTGAGGACGACAAAGAGGACGCCACTCGTCGTTTCCAGGTACGTGAGTCCCAGCTCCACCGGCCGCCCGGGCTGCCAGTGGTTTTCGGGATGATTGGCCCGAATCCGGGGAATCCTGGGTGGATTCCCCGGAACCCGGCCCAGCGTTTTCTAATCTGTTTCTCCCTGCACGGTTTCAGTGAGTGCGGCGAGGGTGACTTTTGGATGCTCTTACCCCGCAGATCCTCGGGAAAGTCTATTCCGTTCTGAGTGACAAAGAGCAGAGAGCGGTGTACGATGAGCAGGGAACAGTGGACGAGGATTCTGATGTGCTCAACCAAGATCGGGACTGGGAGACGTATTGGAGATTACTCTTTAAAAAGGTAGAAGACTCCAGAGACTGTTTTTGCGACGATTCCCATTATTTATTCAAAAACGTTTATTTTATACCTCTGAGGCATTGCATTTTGTGTTGTGCAGGAAGGGGAATTTGGCCTAGAAATACACAAACATACAGGCGTTCCTTAGGGAATGTACGACGTGTACTGTATGTATTTGAAGAAAAACATCTACTGAACCATTAGGTTGAGCCATATGTATGTGTGTGTATACATATACACACTTTTACTGAAACGGGTCTTTAATTACCTGTTGAAATGGGTCTTTAATTACCTGTTGATGTAGAGTGATTGTAGTGAAAAAGGGGGAAACTTGATTTTTTACAAAATATGCTTACATATCCAATTGTAAGTCCTGAATGTTTCTCTGGGACTCCTCACACCACTGGAAACATTACTTAAATTTTCCTGGCCCATAATTTAGTAGTTCTGAAGGTTGAACTATGGAGAACTCTGGAACAGTGTTGGCATAGAAAATTAGGTTCCTTGCAACAATTTTAACTCAGCAACTTGTATTTGGGGAGAACTATTTTAACACTTAAATCTAATTTTAAAGTAATATTCTCAAAGGTAAAGCAAGTGTTCCTTATTTGTTTAGATATCTCTAGAAGACATTCAAGCTTTTGAAAAGACATACAAAGGTTCTGAAGAAGAGTTGGCTGATATTAAACAGGCCTATGTGGACTTCAAAGGGGACATGGATCAAATCATGGAGTCTGTGCTGTGCGTGCAGTACACAGAGGAACCCAGGATAAGGAACATTATTCAGCAAGCCATTGATGCTGGAGAGGTCCCATCCTATAATGCCTTTGTCAAAGAATCAAAGCAAAAGATGAATGCTAGGAAAAGGAGGGTAAGATTTTGAATGCTATTTACCATTTATATCTTGACTGCCTCCAAAAAGAATTTGAGGATATTTACAGTAATGGAAATACAAACAAAACTGCAGACATAAGTATAAAGGTTAACTTGCTATGTAGTTCTTATTAAATAAAATGAACATATCAGTTCATCAAGAGAAACTTGTCCCTAGTATGTTGTGCTCGAGCAATTTACTACATGGATTATTTAAATGATTGCTATCGTCTTAATGCTGAAACAGTCTTCACATGGACCAGTTCTTTTAGCTTTTCTGAGGCATTGCTCAGGAGATAAAGTAATGGAGTCCAAATACGGTACAGATTTGCCCAGGTTGATTCTTGAGTTGAGTCCAGAATATGCATCTTTAAAAAACAAACAAAAAAAACTATTTGGTTTATTTTGATTGTGTCTCCAAACACATTTCGAGGAACACTTTTGGAGAATCAGGCTTTTGAGCCATGATTCAAACACCACACACTTTTGAGACATGTGTGTCCTATATATCCATATTAAATGTGGAGTTGCTGGTGGTAGGAGCTTAAGGATAGCTGGGGTTCCGGGAGGGAGTAGATTCAAAGTAGGAAACATCTGTGCCTCTGGTCTTTTGGGTTAAACCAGACTAGTACCTAAGGAGCCATTGCTTTAAGCTGATTTTCATAATGGGAAGTCCACGGAGAGCAAACAGTGTGAGGTTTTAAATATTTGGTGGGTATCTTAGATGGATATCTTATGTTGTGTGGCTGAATTTGGAGTATGAGTAGGTCTGCAGCTTTTAGATAAAAAATAATACACAAAGGGAAGCTGATTGATGTGTGTTGAGTTGAGAGAAGTAAAATGTGTATCAAGATATATTTTGTTGACCCTGGACTGTGTGGCTCAGATGGTTGGAGCATTGTCCTGAAACCGAAGGGTTACAGGTTTGATTCCTGGTCAGGGCATATTATCTAGGTTGTGGGTTTGGTCCCTTGTCCAAATGCATTCAATCCCCAGTACAGGCATGTATGGAAGGCAACCAATCAATGCTTCTCTCTCACACTGGTGTTTCTCTCCCTTCCTCTTTCTCTAAAAAGCAATGAAAAAAATGTTCTTGGGTGAGAATTAAAAGGAAAAAAATGTATAATTTTGGCTTATAGGCTATATTTAGACTCAGGATGGCAGTTTAAAGTGGTAATCATTTTCTCAGGTGAAACTGAGCACAGCAGTATTCAGTAATAGGACATTAGTTTGAGAAACTTCCCTAAAGTATTGGGGGAAGGGGTGGCGTAGTTTTGAGAGGGACTCCAGCATGCTGCGTGCCGGGAGGGGGATATAGTATAAGAGAGATTGGTCTGAGAGTAGACAATAGAAACTGTGTCTGTTTATTGGAATAAAAAGGTTCTAATGTATCATCATTCCCAGTATTAATAGTATTTATTGTTATTTGGAAAATTTGCTGGGGTTGGAACCTCTTAATAGTTTTAGTTGTTGCACTGGAGGAAAAAAACAAACTTAATAACCTTTCCCAAGGTATTCTTGTGGTACTTTGGAATTAGTGCCCCAGGAAAATTTGGCAAAAGAGGTGCCTTGAAATCAGGTAAAGAAAGGTTAAAACTGAATTTGTTAGTGTTTATTCTGACTACTTGGAATTTTTAAACCAAGGTTATTTTCAAGGCTGACATCAGTCACATGTAGTAAATTGGGTTTCCAGAGGAGGAATCTGAGGTGCCTGTATCCTGGTGATGTTTTTGAGGGCATCCTTTGTTAAGTGGCCTTTTTTAGTTCTCCAAGCATTTTGTTTTCCTTTCTATAATCACATGGTTATTAATACTGAAGTACTTGCTACCCCTAACAAGTCAAGATGAGGAGAACTCAGAAATGTTTATCAGAATCAGAAGACATACTGCTTGCTCTCAGCAATTTTGCCTTTTAATGAATGACATATTTATGCAGTTTTATTCTAAGTAATCTTCAAATTGAAAGGGTCTTACAGATTTGCTTTTGGTAAATAGGATATATTTTTAGGTTGAAATGGAATCTCACGTGAGTTTCTGTTTTAGGCTGAGGAAGAGGCTAAAGAAGCAGAAATGAGCAGGAAGGAGCTGGGACTTGATGGAGAAACTAACTTGAAAGCAGTCATTCAGGTAAACTTGGCAGGCTGTTTGTGAAGGCTGCTGCCATTTCTTCATGTTCTGATTCCTGCAGTTAATGTTCTTTGGAGTATATGTATAATGTGGGTATTCTGTCTTTTTTTAAGACATAATTCACAAATCATATATTCATCTTTTTAAAGTGTACACTTCAAAGGTTTTTTTGTATATTCATCAAATTGTACCACCATCTAATTCCAGAACATTTCATCACCCTAAAAAGAAACCCCTTGTCCATTAGCAGTCAATCCTTATTTTCCCTTCCATCAGCCCCTGGCAACTACTAAGTACATTTGTGTCTATGAGTAGTCTCATATTTTGAAAGTTTGTGTTTTAATTCTTCAACAGAACAGACAAAAGGATCGGCAAAAGGAAATGGACAATTTTCTGGCTCAGATGGAAGCAAAATACTGCAAACCTTCCAAACGAGGAGGGAAAAAAACAGCTTTCAAGAAAGAAAAGAAATAATGGAATTTTCTCTTCAGAATTCATTAGGTGTTAGCTGATGGCATTGTAGGCAAAAGGTACAGACAAGATCTGAAGACAAAAGTCAATTCAACCCTTGGGAAAAGTTGTCTTTCCTGACTAATTATGTGGATTAAGTATATAACCAGAGTCACTTGAACTGATCTTAGTATATCCTAGAAATCCTCTGACATTCTGTGAAGTTCTCCCATAAAGGATTTGGTGGTGATCATTGAGGGGAGAGGGGGAGATTGGTATACTTCTGACAGCACTTGCTTCTGTGTCCATACTTTCCTTACCAGCTATCATTGCTACACAAGAGTGAACTGCAGAGTATTCAGAGTGATGTGGGCGTTTATTACAGCCAGTATTCCACTTAGCAAGAAATGCCTTCAGAACCCTTGCTGGACATCTGTCTTCCAAATACTTGACAGTTTGCTTTTGGTCTTAAATAGATCCTCCCTTTCTCTCTGTTTGTTTCACTCGACCAGGTTTTGTACTCTTTGCTTGAAGTATAGGAGAAACAATTGTTCACACCACTTCAGGCATCTTTATAAGGCTTAACATGATTAAACAAGTAAAACATGATTTAAGTTTTAAATGATCACTGGAATATTACTGCTAAATGCTCTTGGGCAGGTCACTGAGCTTGTCTGAACTTGTTTTCTCATCCATGAAAGGGTGAGGGAGTTTGGGTAAATGACTTCTTAGAAGCCTTTCTGGCTCTTAACTCTGATTTTGAAAGACAAGCTATCAGTAGTTTGTTTTCGTGCACTCATGGTATTGATTTGCAAGAATAGTACAGAGATTTTCACTTATGTGTAATCCAGTTATATGTATTCATTAGAATATATGGAAGGATTTTAGGGACTGTTCAACTTAAAATCTCTGGCTTGTAGAGTAATATTTTCAATGCCATATGCATAAAATAAGCCTTCTGTTACTGAGCTTTATGTATCATAATTTATCAGATAAGCAAGTACATGACATGTTTTCAGTTTGTGGACTATACACAGATTAAAAAATATACTCTTTAATTGTATTAAAATATAATTTAATGCAGGTTGTTTGAAGCATCTGTCTTCATATGACAGTATTAGAACACTTTGATATAATACAAAATTATCCCATCTTATGGTCACTTGAATTTATCCCTCTGAAGATTAACAATAAGGTCTAAAACTGGTATGATCATTAAAGTTAAAGTTGAATGAAATTTAAATAAAATAAAGCCATAGTTCAAGCCGTTGCTGCATTCATGGGTGCACTCAGGAGAAGGTCTGGGGTAAAATTAGAAGAATGTCTAAGTTCTCTGCTTCTGCTCTTAGAATATGTTTATGCTGGAATAATCACCATCTGAAATTTTAAGGAATTGCATCTTTCTGGCTCACTAATAGATTCTATAAATTTGTAAACTGACTTCTAGAGCTGAAGGAGAAAATCTGGCAAGTTGAATTTAATATATGAGAGAAATATGACCACTAAAGAAAAGCAGTATAACCTAATACCAGTCATTGTGAGGTTGAGCTGTCCTGTCTGAAAAAAGTAATATGCATTACGGTTTGTTACCTATGCTACTCTACACCAGTGTTTAACATTGACATTTTTAAGATACTCACCCCTTCTGTATCTGTCTGTGGGGCTGGGCATCTAACGAGAAAGCTTTAGGAATGACATCTGTTTGATGAGTTCAGATTTTTGACAGCCCTGTGTGCTAAAAATGACTTAAAACTGAGTACAACTCTCTGGAAATTAATATAAGCAGAAGTATTTCAAAGCCAGTGATGACTTAATGAATGTTATCAATAATTTGCTGGTTTTTGTGTGTGTACAGTCTTACAGAATCCTATAATAATTGAACTGTTTGTTCATTGTTAACAGACAACATGAGCAGTAACTTGGGAGTAATTATTCTTCTGTTATATCTTTCGGTACAAACTTTACTGTCTGTTGGAGTAGTTCAACTTAAAGCTGAAAGAAGACTAATTGGAGATAGAAACAGTACCCATGTAATCTTTGGCAGATACTCTTTTCTTAGCAATTGTACCAAAATAACTCTCCATGAAGATAGTTTCAAGTTGTCTCTTCCATACAAACTCTGCATCACAGGAACACTGGCTTATGAAATCTTCCCACGTGTTTGCTGCAGCCTGAAGCAGGTTCTTCCCATTTGCCCTATGGTCCCTGCCTGGTTCTAGAGACTGGCCCACTTCTGTTTTGAGACTTTGTAGACCCATGTGGTTGAGGACCTGTAAGATAAAGAGGATATCATAGAGTGACACATTAGTAGATACTAGATTTGGTAACCTCAAATTCATATCTGAGGGCTTTTTTTTTTTGCTCCAATAACCAGGTAGACTTTAAATTTGGAGACTGGGAATGAGTAGTAAAGTATATATTTGCCAAGGCAACAAAAACCTTGTGTATTTATGGAAAAATGTCTACATTAAGATATGAAAGCATAACCTAACTTTTAGAGAAGTTTTCACTAATTGAAAAAGAATAAAATGTTTCACTTAACTAAACTTTACACTAGTTACACGTGACCATGAGCATGTCTGAATTTAATAACTCAGCTCAGAGGCAGGATTGCTTTTCTGTGAAGACGGATCCAAGAAAATAATCCATTGAAAGCATTCAAAGACTACCATACTGCCACTAAGAACTGAATGAAGAGAATTCACTTAGACTACAGAGATCGTTCGGGGCAGATTACTTTTTAATGTACTTGATGATTTATTAACAGGAAACATACTAACTGCCCCACTTCTAAATTTCATCTATAACATAATGAGAATGAACTTAATGATTGTAAGAAGACTATTATAGGAAGAACAAAGACATTCTTAAATTTTCTCCCATCACTCATGGGAAAATAGAAGCTACACAATATAATGTAGAAACCAAAAAGTAAATGGGATAGGATCAAACTCGGCATATCTTGCCATTTTAGAATTGTTTTGTCTTATTAGCCTTGCAGGTTAACTGACCAAAGCAGTTTATTCTATCATAATATGGATTTTGCCTACATAACATTAATACAGTGTTTGAATGTTAATGAAAGTAATTTATTTGGCTAGATTTTTTTTAGATTAAAGAAAAAGTACTGTTCACCTTGCCAAAGTGGGGAGAGGTTAATTTACATAATGTAATGAAAACAGAAATCTGGCACTTTTTGGCTCTGAACAGTAGAGCTCTCCTTAATCTTTTTATTATATCCCATCTTCCAAAATGAATTTGAGGTGACTTGCAAAGATGTAGGAAAATGAAATATAAAAGCCAAGGGAAAGGAAAATAAGCATAGAATTTAAAAAAGACAAAGGTAGGGTCCTAACAGCCACACAGGGGCAGGACAGCAGTCTGGGCCCCACCTGTCCCTGCAGAGGCCCTCCCAGGTCGGGCCTGGTGAGGATACTCGGCTGTGCATGAATGACATTGTGTGTCCAGCTGAAAAAGAAAAGAGACACTTCTTACTATAATGCTATGTCTCCCAAAAGGCAGTATGTTAGCAGATTGATAGGGAAAACCTTCAAATTGGTCAACGTAAATGGCATTTGCCACTAATCCGAGGGACAAGTTGGCTGAGTGCACCCTCTTACATTCCAAGGGAGAAATCCCAAGCCAAAGGCCCACACAGCCATTTGTTAACATGTAAAAATTGTAAGTTCTACAGCTTTATTAATATGCCTTTAAGAAAATCTTAGCATTTATACATCTGTATGGTTTCATATTCCTAAATATAATTGGCTGCCAGGGGAATTTAATGCAATTTCTGTTGCCTGCTGACTGTTTAAAACAATGAACAGCATTTTCAGCCACATTGAAACATCCATGACTTTTGTACTTGAAATACAATATGAAACATTTCAAAATTATAAAGATTTTAAGATCTAAAATATTAAAATGTTAAATACCAAAAAGTAAAAGCTATCCATGCCGTCTCACTGGCACTTCTGCAATAAAAAAATAGCCCTCAGTTCCATGTCAGAGCATTACAATCAAGAGATTTCAGGAAATTTTTTTTCCGTTTGAAGTCATATGTTTGGATCAGGGGTCAGCAAATTTATTCATAGAGGACCAGATAGTAAGTATTCTAGATTTTGTGGTATGCAGTGCTGTTGTTGGAACTACTCAGCTCTACAGTTATACTGGGAAAGCAGCCAGAGAAAACAGTACATGAATGAGCATGATGATTCTGCCCTAAGAAAACTTATTTTTTAATAAAAACAAGTAGTAAGCCAAATGGCCTATGAATGCTGACTCCCATTCTGGGTAAGACTACCAAGGAGCAGAGTGCTCGCCTGGCAGTGCCAGGCCCAGGACTCAGATCTAGTGCTTTTAGTTACACTGAGCTACTAGCTCATATCCCTTTTCATGACAGCAAATTGAGAAAGAAATGGCTAAGGTAAGAAATTTTTACTTTTGTTCTAAAACTATAAAAATAAACTTGAATTCTTTCATGTATTCACCTTACTCCTAAGGCAACCAAAAATCAAATGTTTGATATGAGAGAATCTAGATATAGAATATAATCAACACACTGCTTAACAAATGTTCTGGGTCAAATTATGAGAAGACATTTAATAAAGGTTCTCAAACTTTCTGAGGTTCACACTGAGTAAGAAACAGAAGTGCTCATGTTTCCCTTTTCCCTGTTTTGTTTCCCTGAGGCAAACAAGCCACCTCAGGTCTACTGGAGTAAATGGTGTCCCCCCAAAGTTTATATCTACCTGGGACCTGTGAATATGGCTTTATGTGGAAATAGTATCTATGTTCATATAATCAAGTTAGGATGAGGTCTGACTGGATTAGGGTGAGCCCTAAATCCAATGACTGGTATCTTTATAAGGGAAAATTGGGAGAAGGCTATGTGAAGACAAATCAGAGTGGTGCAGCTGCAAGACAAGAAACACCAGGGGTTGCTGGCAACCATCAAAAGCTAGGAGGAAGAGGCAAGAAAAGACTCGCCTAGAGTCTGAAGAGGGAATATGGTACTGCCGACACCTTGATTTTGGACTTCAGGCTCTGGAACAGAATAAATTTCTATTGCCACCCAGTTTGTGATCATTTGTTACGGCAGTTCTAAAAAATGAGTGTCCCATTCATTCATTCTCATTCTAGTGGAGGAAAGATTGTATGCTTCAATGTAGAGCCTAAGATGATGCTTCAGGCTCTAATAGTTCAAGGGTTTTGAGTTGGAATCAGAGGGCTGCAAACACCACTATCCTGGGAACATAGACTCTGTGGCCCCTCGTTCCTGGGTGCTAAGTGTGGCCCCAGTCACTTCCCCAAGCTCAACAAGCCCTCTTACCACAAAGCAGATGAGGAGGGGCCAAGCAAGCATACCACTGGGCAAGGTCAGGGCACGACCGCTAGTCGCCCAATTACTTAAAAGTAAAGGGGCTAATAAATGTACATGGAATGATAAGGCACTGTTAGGCAGCTTAAACAACCAAAAATTCCTAAATCCCAAGTTGCCCATCTACCAGTCCACATCGTAATCTGACAGCACTATTGGTATAAACTCCATGAGAGCAGCAGTAGAAAATGAAGTTATGCTGACCAAATATGCACTGATGTTTTAACTTTTTTTTTTTTGCTTATTCTCAGAAATACCCAAACTTTAATTTTTTTTGGTTTTGTAATTCATACATAGGGCATTTGTGTCTGTGTGTTACATGCTGCTGAGTTGGCTGACTCCTGCTGACCCTGTGAGTGATGTCCACAATGTGCTGTCCTCAACAGCCCTGCTCAGCTCCTGTAGACACGTGCCTATGGCTTCTGTTACGGAGTCAACTCATCTCGTATTTGGTTTTCCTCTTTTCCTGCTGTCTTCTACTTTTCCTCAGGATTATTGTCTTTTCCAAAGAATCCTGCCTTCTCATGATGTGCCTGAAGGAGGACAGCTTCAGTTCTGTCATTTTGGCTTCTAGTGATGTTTCAGGCCTCATTAGCATTTTATAATACTTTATTGTACAAGTTAAAAGACTGGCAAGAGTCCAGTTAGAATTTCAACAAAATGTTCTTAAAACACTATTTTCATTGTTAGAATCTCAACTTTTATGCTTTGAGTTGATTGAGCTACTATGAGTCTTAAGTCTGCCAGACTAGTGTTTTTTTCCTTTTCCCCAACTATCAAGACCACAGAGGAAACATCACTACCAAAAATGACTGAGTTGTGTTGGGCCTGGAGAAAAAGTCAGGTAAAAGGAGCCTCTCCTGGGGCTGCTGATGATTAGGCTCATCCACCACTGCACTTTGAGCACGATTAGCATCACCGTGGGTTTTCTGTGGCAGAGACAAAATTACAGAAACAATTAAAACAATTTGCTATGTGTGCCCTACATGAACCCTACCAAGCCAAGCACCTCCAGTTCCATTGCCATTGAATAGAATTCAGTATTGCTTTAGACAAAATCTGGTATAAATTATAAGGCCAGAGTCTAGGTCCTACGGAATTACTGTCCATGCGGTTTTATAAGCACATGGAAAGGGAACAGACATACCGTTTGCCTTTGTGGCCCCACAGTGCTCAGGTGTTCCACTTCGGCTGTGCCAATGGGTGGCAGCAGATTATTTCGGCTCAGGGGCATTGGTGAGGGAGAAGAAAGGGAGTCAGCCACCACTTGGCTGCAGGTCAAGCAGTGAACACCAAGACATGAAAACATAAAGTTAGAACAACGCAAGCAAACTGATGAATTTAATGTTATACACAGAAAACTTTAACCTGTTTTAAGTTTTTAAGTAAAGAGATCTCATTGAAAGGACTGTGGGTTTTTTCATAGTATTTTATGATTTTTCTTGAAACTATCCTAAACACAGCAGAAGTTGAGCCTTTCTCTTACAGAACTTTGGAATAAAAGTTTGCTCTGCTCTAGCTGGTGTGACTCAGTGGATTGAGTGCTAGCTTGCAAACCAAAAGGTCATCAGTTCAATTCCCAGTCAGAGCACATGCCTGGGTTGTGGGCTGGGGCCCCAGTTAGGGGCATGCAAGAGGCAACCAATACATGTATCTCTTGCACGTCAATGTTTCTCTTCCTCTCTTCCTTCCCCTCTCTAAATAAAGTCTGTAAAAAAACCTTTTCCCCTTATCTGCTGTTGCACTTCTCTACCAATAATGGATTTGTAATTTCACATCTGATGGAATTCACTGTTCTGATTATCCTTTTCACTAATAACTATAATTCCCAGGAAAGGCCCTACACTCCCCTTTTCTGCCATGGAGTTTGGAGCAGTTGGCTGTGTTACTCATACCCAAGACGGTAATTGAAACTGAGTGATACTTTCATGTCCATGAAAAAACAAAGCAACTTCTTTTTTCACTTTGAAAAAATGCACTGTCAGAAGGGATGAGAGATTAATTATACATCAAGACCACTCCTAAATGAATGAATCTATAGCTATATCAGCATGGAGACAGCCTCAGCAACATAATAAAATAGTGAGCAGGTGAGGTGAACCCCGGTGTCCTGACAAAGATTTTTGGTGGTTTTGGACATCTCTTTTAGTGAGTGTTAGGATAAATTATAATGAGAAATTGAAAAATAAAAATCAAGAAGTAACATGTTGGGAGATAAGTATAGTGATGTGCTTAATTTAGAAGCTGAATTAAAAACAGTTATGACACTATTTCATACCCTTGATCATCCTAGAAATCAACCATCCTACATTTTATGAATTAACTAAATAATTTAATTGTAAAAATCGGTGTTTTTTGCAAAATGAGGCTCAGTGTGTAGCAAATGAAAGGTGAGAAAAGGGGAGAGGATATGTGTAGAAGTGCCGAGGGGTATTTTTCCTGGAACATAAATCATAAGCAATGACTTCTCTAAGGTTTACGAACTTTTCATTGTCAGTGGAATAAGTAGTTCCCAGTGGTACAGAAAACACTAAAAGAGAATTAACTATTATTGTGGGATGAACTTCACTGAACATGTTCCCACTAGGGAAAATAATAAAATACATATACCTTTTATTTCTTTGGTAAGCATCACTGAAGTATTTTAGCCAACATTTTATTTGTAGAAATAGAAATCTTCAGCTAAATCAACAGGAAAATCCAGTGTCTGTGTTCACATTTAAACCAATTTTTTTCTGTAGTGGATGGATTTGAACCAGTGTGCAATCCATCATAAGAATACATGATGATTAGTTTCTAGACATGTATTTCAACATTATATTTAAATTAATTACATAAAATTCTTAATGAGTTTTACCACAATTTCCAGAAATTCTGCTTTTGAAACCTACACTCGGGATCCTCTGAGGATTTCTTCCACAGGTCTTGGTGTTCCAGCTCGGGAATGGCTTGTGCTGATGGGATGCAGGGTTCGTGGTGGGGGGTTGCGCCTCCTGGCGGACTGCACTGTATATGACAGAGATGATGTACAAAGCTCTAGGGCTCGATTTGACCAATTTCGGGTCGAAAGGGTGGTACTGGACCCAGGCCTCATAAGTAGCTTGTCATCGAGATCTCTAGTGGCCAAAGAAACCCACAGTGAAATTGAGATTGCTCTGTACTGGGAGACACGACTCAAAGGGTGAAAAACAGACTATAAAACATTCAAGGGAGAAAAATGCAAAAGTGAAAACTAACCTAGTTTCTGGAAGTTACATTATCTAGCTCAGGCATGAGAATGTGTTCTTAAAAGAAGGGCATCATTTCAGTCGTACACAGAATGGAGATTTGGGAAATAAATTCTTATTCACCTGCTATCACGGTCACTTCCTTCAGTTGCCAGTGAGGGCTAACCTGAAGGGTACCTCCTCTGAAGTGCTTCCTGAAAGTGTACCTCAGGGACTGATTTCTATCATATTCAAGGCGTTCTTTGGTGCTGAAAAATGTCACTGGAAAGACTTAGTTGAAAGGCAAATATTGCTACTTGGGAGCAGTGTGACTACCCCTGCAGAAATTAAAATGCCAAGCTAATTGGAACTTGCACGGGGAGCGGTTTGGGTTCCTTGGAAATCTGGGAGCAGGCAAAAGGTCCAGAGCCATGTGCTGCCAAGGGTAGTAGGACCACAGTAGATTCTTGTTTGCAGAAGCAACTGTGAAGTAGAACACTGATGTAAGTGCTCTGATAAATAAAATACTTTGCCCAAACAGTTCAGTAGCATAAACTCTGTCCTATAGACTCAGGTTTTTTGTTTTTTAAGCAGGTGAAAGGATGTTTGGCCCTATTGTAAGGCACGATGAGATGAAGGCAAAGTGAAACAATAAAGCTCTGCCACTTGCTCTTTGGCTTTCAGCAAATTCCTCAAAGTTTCAGGCCACACTGACACCCTCTAGTGCAAAGTGTGCTTGGGTGTTGGGAGGACTTGGAAGGGAAAGTGCCCATCAAGGAACAGGGATACGTCTTGAGCATTACAAGAGATGTTCTGGTCTTCCTGCTTCCCTGACCATTCACGCAGGCATTTTCTTTACATGCCCTGCTTTCATAACTCTAAATTTGATTATCGCCTCTAGCCAGGGGACTTCTAGATCAACTGCCAAATATGACCTCTTGCATATTTTCCCACAACATGGCCCATCATCGTAAACTCAACACATCCCAAACCAGACTTACCTTCTTCCCAAACAAGCTTCCCTTGAGTTTGAAATTCAAGAGTTGACTGTGATTCTTCTATTTTTATAGAATTTGATTTCTTTTGTAAGCTCCTATTGTATTTCATTTCTTTCTCATCCTTTGCTACAACTTGAGTGCAGACAGACCATTAGTGGCACATGTTTGAACTCCTACATTAGATTCCTAACCTACATTTCCTACATTTCAATCTAATATATGTTCTACTGTTGTGAATCTTTTAAATTCCTTATTTAAATATATGTAATCCCCAACTGAAACTCATACATTGCTGGTTGGGAGTATAAAACGGTACAATTACTTTGGGAAATTGTATGGCAGTTTCATTTCTAGATACTAACCCAAGAAAAATGAGAACATAGGTCCACAAAAAAGACTTGTGCAGAAATATTTATAGCGTTTTTACGTATCACAGCCCCAACTTGGAAACAGCCCAAGTGTTCACTAACAGAAGAATGGATTAACAAATTGTATACTCTTAGAATAGAATACTGCTTGGCAATAAAGGAGACAGTAACATGCAGTAACATGGAGGGATCTCAAAAACATGGCATTCAGTACTCTCACAGAATGGAATACTGTTTGGCAATAAAAATTCAAGATCATCAATAATCTTTGGCCAGAAGCATTCAAGTTCTGACCTGTCTCCTACTGTAGCAGAAATGATCTTTCTGTTCTAAGTACTGTATTTTACCATCTCCAAATCTCCTCCCACATCATTTCTCCTACCTAGAATAGTTTTACTGCTTTTCTCTGCTTTCCAAATTCCCATCGTTCAAGGACAAGTTCAAAATCTAAACTTATCTGCCAAAATGTCTTCCTTCTTTGGGTCTATCATAGCACTCACTCTGGGTACCACACACTTGGCACTCGGTCACAAAAATGCCCTATTTCGTTAGGTCTTTCTCACTCATGTGTGTCTTCTCTTTCTAATTATCCGCTCCTTGAGGGTGGTGACAGTTTCCCTTAGATGTTTTTACTCCCAAGATATCTGATTGCTTGGTAGCAATACATACATGTTGATTGATTGACTTTCCTTTTATTTCTCAGTGATCTACTTAAATTCTATATTATTAGAATTTTATACTCCTTACAGGATTTTGTCCATCAGGGAGAGATTTCTTGGCTGTAGAGGCATCCCATGAACCAGGAGACCGTTCACATTTGGCTGATGACCACTTGCTGCTTGACAGAGACTCATCTACATGTTAAAAGAAGATGTTGCTCATTACTGGTTGGTGAAGACACCTGCCTAGTTTCCCAACTCTGCCAAAAGTTGTTATTTCCAAATTAGGTTTTGTACACATTTTTGTCCTGTGCCTTAACTTTTGTAATATCTTGGCCAATAGCCTAGCTCGGCCCCAAGTTCACTGTTGAGATGGCAGAGTCAGTCCTTTCCTAAATGACAGCAGGTGGGGGAAGCCTGACCAACTTAAATGAAAGCACTTAGCAGCCACTGTCATAGGGGAGAGAGGACCTTTGTTATTATTGTGAGAAAAGAAAACACAAATATGGAACAGAATTTTAAAAATAAGGGTAAACGCTAATGTTATCTCTACCACCATCACACAGTCTTACACTCTACATGAACTAGTTCTTTCTCCTTCACAACTCCTGGAGTAGTCACCTGTCAATGAGAACTGAAATTCTAAAGACTTTATTAGAAGGATTTAATCTAAGTTGGACTGACATTAGGACCTCAGAGTCCTGTTTCTTTGCTCTCAGGTCATTGTTTTGGTCATTTCCTTTGCCGTTCACTTTCCTCCCATTTTCTCTCAAGAATGTGTGGATTAACACTTCTTTCTTTATCTCATTAGCCAGAACCATTCAAGTTAACGGATCAGGACTTAGGTTTCCTAAACCATAGCCAAACCAGTTCTACATGGAGAAGTATTTTATTACTATACAAGGAACATTAGTTCACCTGGTTCATCCTTTGATGTGATAAAGTATTAATTGAGCCTTGCTGGTTTTATTTTTAAGTAACACTTTTCTAAACCCAGCTGTACAATATCTGCTTAGTATACCAGCAAAGCGAATACTAGAGCTGGTAGTAAAATCCAGGGTTGATGAGCTTGGCCCAAGCATTAGACTCCTTTTTCTCTTTTCTTTTTTCCCCTCCCCACTACTCCCTCCTTCCCCCAACTCTTTTGCTACAGGCAACAGTGGAAAATTATCATATAGTAACTGCTACTATATAATCGTTACACAGTGATGAGACCAGGATGAGCCTCAGCAGGCTCATCAACCTCCTGCAAAAAATGGCCATATTTATGTTTGTCCATAGACATAATTGAGACCACTTCTCTCTGGTTTGCCTTTTATAGCTGTGTTGAGTACTAGACACAAAAAAGCAAAAAATTAAAAATATTAAAAACAAAAACCAGGTAGGCAGTGACCAAAAAAAAAGGGGGCGGGGGAGGGATTCCAAAGATATTCAAAGGACAGAATGTTAAGGACTTAAAATATCTGATAGCTAGTCCCTGTTTTCATCATATTCTTCATTCTTCCTAGAACAGTTAAGCTGACCATATAGTTGCTTCTAGATTACACAGTTAATACATACCTTTTCAAATAGCTGACTGAGAATAAGTTAACCCTAATTTGCTATTAATTTTTCAAACAAATTGAATTTGTCAATACATAGAATCACTGGCTTATAGTGATAAACACATAACTACTGAAAAAAATGAGTCATAAATAATACATTTAATACAAATAACTCAGAGCAAACTTTTGATAAGAATAATCTGAGGCTCTACAGTGTATTCCTCTGGGGGCTTACCAGATTTGAGGTCATCGACAGCACCTTAGACTGTGGCACTCGAGGTAAGACCAAAGGTTGTGGTTCACTTAGCACACAGGGGCTTTCCGAAGCCGATCTGGTGATTGCAACATTACTCTCATCATCTGAGCAAAAAAATGGAATTATTATCTGTGGATATCTCCAGACCCACTGCAACAGTACTGTGAAAAGAAATCTTCCCTGAGAATTCATTCTCAAGCTAGATTTCACTCATCTTTGTAGCCCAATTTTTTTACCACCTGCATGGTTCCAAAAAAATCCTCAAAGAATTCCGTTTAAGGAAGTTTCCCAGGCTTCAGTGCCTATTGGTACCTGGCTGAAGGGAAAGCAAATACAGTGGCACCTCGGTACCCATAGTTAATTCGTTCTGGAACTTGTGACGAGCACCAAAACCCACAAGTACCAAACGATGAAGCATTTTCTCTTGCGAGGTGTTGTTGCCACTCATGCAAATTCTGGAAAATGCAATGAGTCCTGAGCAAGCAGCTGAGTGCTGAAACTTTTTGTCATCAAAATATGACAAGTACAGGGTTTGAGGAGTTCTGAAGCTGACAAGTACTGAGGTGCAAGTCTCTAGAGCAAAAAAAGAAAAGAAAATCTCTAAAGCAAAGCTATGCAACAGAATATTTGCCGCCGATGGGAATGTTCTACATATGCACTAACATAGTGGTCTCTAACCACAGGTAGTAATGGAAAACTTTAACATTTGGTTAGTGTGAGGAACAGAATTTTAAATCTAATTGTAATTAAAATTTAAATAGCCACATGTGACTAGTGACTACTAACACTAGAGAAAGCTTCACCCCATTAATCCAGGCCTCAAAGAATTTCCACACATAAAGCTACAAGATTAAAACTCACTGTTAAAAATCACAACTCACAAGGACACAAAACATCTTGAGGAAAAGCAAGCAAAAACAACATAATCAGGTCAGCAAAGACTTAAGAAATTGAGATTATCAAGTTCAAAATGTAAGAGGTGAAGCAATTGAAAAAATATGAGTAAAGAGTAAGACATAAAAATAACCAAGCAGATTTGTAAAATAAAATGAAATTACGAGAACTAAAATTACTAAAAAACCAAAAAAACCCTCAACAGAGACAACAGCAGATTAGATCCTGCTGAAGACAGACTTAGTGAACTAGAAGAAGAAAACTTGAAATCCTGAATTCAGTCCAAAGCAAAGGAGGTGGAAAATATGAACTGTACACTGAGGGGCAAATTTTACTATATGTAAATTATACCTCAACTTAAAAAATGAAGATGTAAAACCACAATGAAACACACCTTTATACATCAACAAAAAATTAAAGTTGATCAAAAACTATTGATAAGATTGTAAGCACAGGAACTCGAGTACTCTTGGTGGATATACATAACTGGTACTATCACTTTGGACACTTTGGTGATATCTAGTGAAGTTGAAGATGCATTTCCATATGAGCCAGCAACATCCTTGGTGTATACCCTGGAGGAGCTCTTGCACATATACCAGGAGGAATGTTCAAGAATGTTCATAGCTTCATGGATCATAATTACAAACACTGGATTTTGGTGGGCTTTAGCACTTTTCACCATCAAATTTGGCTTAGAAACTGAATTCAAGATGAGAGATTATGTTTCTGAGTAAAACTAGTATCAGTTCTTGGTGGTCATTGGTTCTAAATCACACCCATGATCACTCTGTTTACTACTGTTTCATTCTGAGGAGGTATACCTGTCCTCAACAAATACATCCATGAGGCTTGTTTCCCCACTAGCAAATCAGACTTAAAATAATTTTAAAATAAATAATAAATATTCTTTCATAATTTATATTTTAATACTGGCTAATAATATTAATTAATTAATATTAAAATTAAATATTAAATTAATATTAAAATTAATATTGACTGAAAGTTAAAATGATGGTAAAAATACCAAGTTATAAAAATGAACAAATAGTTACATTTACTCAGTTTTATACACTTTTGGTTTAGAGTTGACACCTCCAAATATGACAAATTGCCATGTGGCCCTACTGTATATATGACTAGCATGCAGTTTGGCTTTTCTTTCTCACAGAGAGGCAGAAAAAAACAATTCTCCAGTAGTAGGGATAGGTTTGTACCAGCACCTGCAGGTTGGTCCTATCAACAACTAACTGGTCCACTCCAAAGCCAAAAATGCAAGTATTCTTCCATATGGTATTTTTTAAAGTAATGATAATAGCCAACATTTATAGCACTCATAAATATTATAGGAACTACTCTATGAATTTCACATAATTCATTTATTTCTCAGATGACCACAGGAGGTAAATATTAGTAATATACTTGTTTTATAGGTAAAGAAATGGAGGCACAGCAAGGTTAAGCACCTTGTATAAGATACAAAGTTAGCATCAGAGCCAGTGGTTGAACACAGGTTGTCTGGTAACTGTGCTTATAACCTTTATGCCACATGGCTTCTCATGTGGCTAACAGTTTAGAGCAGGGGCTGGCAAACTATGGCCTATGGGCTAAATAGGACCCATTACCTGTTTAAAAAAAAATCATACTGTAGCAAAATATCTGTAACATAAAATTTAGTATTTTAACCATTTTAAAGTGTGCAGTTCATGGCATTAAGTGCATGCATTGTGTTGTATAACCATCACCACTAATTCCATGCCTTCTTTCACTCCAAAGGAAAACCCCATGCCCTTTACCATCACTTATTTTTGTAAATAAAGGTGTAAGAGTAGTTTGCTTATTCTAGTTGTATAGTACTCCATTGTATGAACGTATCACATTCTACTGCTGAGGGACATTTGGGTAGTTTTCCAATAGAAACTATCCAAAATGAAATACACAGAGGAAAAAAGTCCAAAAAATATCTGAGGGATCAGTGATCAAAATATACATGAGTAACCAGAGTCCTGAGGGGTGGTGAGGTTGGGGGCAGGGCAGACAAAATATCTGATGGCATAATGGCTAAAAACTTTCCACAAAACAATGAGCCCACAGATCCTAATAGCTCAACAAACTCCAAGCAGAAATAACATGAAGGAAATTACATCAAGGCACAGCATAATCAGATTGCTCAAAGCCAATGATAAAAAGAAAATCTTAAAAGCAACCAGAGGAAAAAGAGACATGTACACAGGAACAAAGAAAAGGACGACATCAGATTTCTTGTCACAAACAATACGCATGAGAAGACAGGGGAACAACATTCTTAAAGTACTGGGAGAAAAACTATCTACCTAGCCCTGGCTGGCGTAGCTCAGTAGATTGAGCTTGGGCTGCGAACCAAAGCATCATAGGTTTGATTCCCAGTCAGGGCACATGCCTGGGTTGCAGGCCACGGCCCCCAGCAACTACACATTGATGTCTCTCTCTCTTTCTTTCTCTCTCCCTCCCATCCCTCTCTAAAAATAAATAAATAAAATCTTAAAAAAGAAATTGTTTTCAAAATTATTTAAAAAACACAACTGTCTACCTAAAATTTCATTTCCTGTAAAATTATCTTGAAAAATATGAAAGCAAAATAAATTTTCATATCTACAAATGAAAGAATTAATCACTAACAGACTCACATACAAGAAATGTTAGAGGATATCCTTCAGGTTGGAAAAATTAAAACAATTTTTTACTGAAATAAAATTCACATAACAAAATTCACTGTTTTTTTTAAATAGATTTTATTGATCATGCAATTACAGTTGTTCCATTACCCCCCTTTAGTGCCCTCCACCCTGCCCCCCCACTTTCACCACCATTCCCCCATGCCTTGTTTGGTTCATGTCCATGGGTCGTGCATATAAGTTTCTACCTACCATTTATGCTACTTATTCCCTGTACCTTTTCTCCCATTCTCCCCTCTCTACCTCCCTGCCAATAACCCTCCATGTGATCTCCATTTCTGTGATTCTGTTCTTGTTCTAGTTATTTGCTTAGTTTAGGTTTGGTTGTTGGTAGTTGTGACTGTTATCATTTTACTGTTCATATTTTTGATCATCCTGTTTTTCTTTTTTTTTACTTTTTAAAATATATTTTATTGATTATGCTATTACAGTTGGCCCATTTCCCCCTTCTCTCCACCCTGTATACCCTCTCCTACCCACATCCCCCCCTTTAGTCATGACCATGTGTCATACTTATAAGTTCTTTGGCTTCTCCATTTCCTATACTATTCTTAACCTCCCCCTGTTTATTTTCTACCTACCGTATATGCTACTTATTCCCTGTACCTTTTCTCCTCTCTCCTCCTCCCACTCCCCTGTTGCTAACCCTCCATGTGATCTCTATTTCTGTGGTTCTGTGCCTGTTCTAGTTGTTTGCTTAGTTTCTTTTGGTTTTGCTTTAGGTGTGGTTGTTAATAATTGTGACTTTGCTGTCCTTTTACTATACATATTTTTTCTGTATCTTCTTTTCTTAGATAAGTCCCTTTAACATTTCATACAATAAGGGCTTAGTGATGATGAACTCCTTGAACTTGACCTTATCTGAGAAGCACTTTATCTGCCCTTCCATTCTAAATGAAAGCTTTGCTGGATAGAGTAATCTGGGATATAGGTCCTTGTCTTTCATGATTTGGAATGCTTCTTTCCAGCCCCTTCTTGCCTGCAAGGTCTCTTTTGAGAAATCAGCTAACAGTCTGATGGCCACTCCTTTGTAGGTTACTGTCCCCTTATCTCTTGCTGCTTCTAGGATTCTCTTCTTCATTTCCATCTTGGCTAATGTAATTATGATGTGCCTTGGTGTGTTTCTTCTTGGGTCCAACTTCTTTGGGGCTCTCTGAGCTTCCTGGACTTCTTGGAAGTATATTTCCTTTGCCAGAATGGGGAAGTTCTCCTTTATTATTTGTTCAGATACGTGTTCAATCTGTTGCTTTTCCTCTTCCCCTTCTGGTACCCCTATAATTCGGATGTTGGAATGTTTAAAGATGTCCTGGAGGTTCCTAAGCTTCTCGTTTTTTTTGAATTCTTATTTCTCCATTCTTTCCTGTTTGGTTGTTTTTTTTTTTTTTCCTTCTGGTCTACTCTATTGTTTTGAGTCCCAGTTTCCTTCCCATCACTATTGGTTCTCTGTGCATCTTCCTTCATCTCTTTTATGGTAACCTGCATTTTTCATGTAATTT